AGTATGTGTTTGAAGCTTGGTGATTTTGGATTGGCTCGTATACAGGACATTGCGTCCCAGAGTAATAGCCGGGGTGTGGGTTCGCCCCAGTATTTGGCACCTGAGATATGCGCCGACGAAGACTATAGGAAGTATAACGTGTCGGCAGATATGTATAGTCTGGGAATGTTTATCACGGAATTGTTCAAGTTCGATTAGTATGTGCTCTCTCTCTCTCCCACCTCTTTCTCCCATCTCTCTCTCTCTCTCTCTCTCTCTCTCTCTCTCTAAAATTAAAATTATTTATTTAATTACAAATTGTAGTACAGAGGAACCGCATGATAAGCGAATGGTGAACATCCAGGCAATGGTATTAACTTTATTGGAGAATAAGACCAGTAAACGACCCACAAGTGAGAAACTAATGGATCAGATAATCAATGCTGAGATCAAAGACAATCAAACAATTTTGAATGATTACACCAATTATACACAAGGTTTGGAAAGGGATGAAAATAAATACTTATATAAATATGTGTCCAATAAAATTGATAAAATATGCGAAACCTTATAAATGGGAACTCAATACACATTTCCAATTGAATAAATAAAAACTTTATTTTGATTAAACATAACGTGTGTAACATTTTAAAACAAACTTATTACTCTAGTACTCAAACCATAACTACTGATTTATGAGTAAAATTAATAGTATACCGTTTAATAGTAACGGTAAGTACGATGGGGTGTATTTGTGTCCGGAACCTTTACCAGGTGTCATAACGTAAACATGAGTATACGTGACATTTGCAACGTTTGTAACGTTTTTCACAATGATATACTCATAGCCCGGGTAGACTTTCGGCGGTTCCTTATCGTAGTAGTGGCACCGGGAGTCGTACGCCACGGTAGTTGGTATATACGACACTTTGGTCTCGGGGTCGACCAGTATTTTGGGCGGTGGCGGACACTTCACATAACGATAGTTTACATCGTAATAGCCATAATTACCATTATAGCCGTGGCTGCCAACCATTTTGCCCAACTTATAGCCACCATAAGCTCCCACTGCGGCGCCTATCACTCCACCGGCCACTGGATGTATAAAAATTTATTGTTAATAAGAATAACTTATTATTATAATTATTTTTTAGGCAAATACCTGCCGCCCCTACTCGTCCACCAGTACCAGATCCTCTGCCGTTTCCCGTTACATAAACGGTGTTCCCTACATGTCCTGAATTGACATATGTTCCCGATCCCGGTCTAACACCATTGTTCACATAGTTTGTACCATGAGGTATATTCGTACCATTGTAACCTCTATATCCAGTTCCCATATGAGTACCATTATATCCTTGTCTTATACCCGACCCTGGGTGAGTAATATTAGGACCTCTATAGCCGGTGCCCGAGTGAGTTACATTAGGACCTC